GTGTTAGCTTTCTGCTCTCTACTGGCTAAGTTATGTCTTACATTCATTTAGAGAAGATTAGATATACTGTTAGGGGATCTGTAAACAAATTCTTTGATATCTGGCAGCCATTTATATCTTATGTAGAAAAAATTTCAGTAGATAACTTTGTCTAATGGTCAAATAATGGTTCTTTGTACACAAACCTGTGTTTTGTATTTACAGATACATGAATATAAGATGTATTTCTATTTATGTTCTGTTAGCAGATCCGGTATAGGTGGGGAAGGATGGGAGGGTTTTTTAGGGGTGTGTTCTTTCTGTTAGTTTGTTTTTTGTTTGTGTTTTTTGTTAAAAAATAATAAAAAAAAACTTTGAAGAAAAAAAAGAAGCTCTGAAAGAAGAGACCAAGGAGACAGTAATGGCTCAATATTCACCTGTACTTTGATCAAAATCCACTTTGATTTTGTTGGACTGATTTCTCTGCTGTGTGGTTAGGATGGGAGACACACACGCTCTGCCACGACTGCTGCTGAAGGACAGCCGAGAGAGAAGACCTTTATAAAAAAAATAAATCACAAAACACAGGGGGTAAGCATGTCTAATCTGCACGCTTACAAAGAAAAGAACACAAACTGGTGATTCGATCACTCTGAGACACTGCCAGTGGCTTCGAGCGCCACTAAACAAATCCTGCTGTATTCAGGTACATTAAACATTTCTTATAATTTAACACAATAAAACAATATGCCATATATGATGTGCATTTAAATGGTACAAACCCAGAAATACAGTACTTGCATGTGAATACTTACAGTAGACATGTCATAAACCATAAAAGCAAAGTTTGATAGCAAAAACTCAAAAGGTGCTGTGCAAAGACAAATGTATCTCATTAAAAAGTTGCTGTAAGTTTTGCTTAAAGCAACTATTTAACGAGTAAATAGCCTCAGTTAGCATGTAATTTACATGTCTGCCAATCTTCTTCATTCATTTAGTTGTAAACCATAATAAACAGGTAGAAAGAGTAAAGCTGACAGAAGTAAATGCCCTACAACTTAGCTTTGCTCCAGACCCGCTAAAAGCTAACAGAGCAGTCTCATAACTCTAATATYTGGTTAATTGTTTGTTTGGAGACGAGGACAGCACTAACTATTTATGCGCTCAAATCGCGGTTTTTAAATGCATTTAAACTTTTGTACCTGATAAGCTATAACTCCTTCTTAAAGCCATTTTG